AGGAAAAATTGTTGAACAACGTAAATCTTGTCTTGTCTTGTTCAATTTATTGCTTCTCTCTTTCAAATGTTTTTCCTTCTATTAGCCTGGCACGTTTCCCAACAACTGGTATCAAAGCAGAGACAGTATAATTCTGGTAGAAAAGTACAATACTGGTGCAGGTACTATTCACAAGAATAGTGTGACACTATTGATCATTGTTACTATTCACAGGCACTATTCACATAATTATTTTTTGTGAAAAATGACATCGGAAGAAGGGAAGGTTAAGATTGACAAGTTCAATGGCAAAGATTTTGGATTCTGGAAAATGCAAATAGAGGATTATTTGTACCAGAAAAAATTACACTTACCTCTCACCGAGGTAAAATCAGAGACTATGGCCAAAGCGGATTGGGATCTATTAGATCGCCAAGCTCTTGGTGTGATTCGTTTGACGCTAACACGAAATGTAGCGATTAACATCATTAACGAGAAGACCACTGCAAGCCTGATGAAGGCGTTATTAAATATGTACGAGAAGCCATCTGCTCAAATAAAGTCTATTTGGTGCGTCCATTGTTCAACTTAAAGATGATAGAAGGTGGATCTGTTACGGAACATATCAATGAGTTTAATGTAATATTAACTCAGTTGAGTTCTGTTATCATAACATTCGATGACGAACTCAGGGCATTAATTCTACTATCATCTCTACCGGAGAGTTGGTCTGCAATAGTAACTGCAATTAGCAGTTTATTAGAAAGTACCAAACTCAAATTGGATGATATTAGAGACTTGGTTCTAAGCGAAGATATTCGTCGAAGAGAATCAAGTGATTCCCCAGGATCTGCTTTTAATATCGAAAGCAGGGGGAGAAGCAGCCAAAAAGGACAAAGTCATGGTTTTGGCAGATCAAAGTCAAGGAGAAGAGGGCAATCCAAAAATCGCAAAGATATTACGTGTTGGAATTGCGATAAAAAGGGTCACTACAGTAGTGAGTGTAGAGAGCCAAAGAAGAAGAAGAATGATCAATACAAGGATGATAATTCAGCAAATGCAATTACTGAACAATTGGGTGATGCACTAATTTGTTGTGCAGACAGTCCAGTCGAATCTTGGATTCTGGATTTAGGTGCATCCTTTCACTCTACATCATGCAAAGAATTATTTCATAATTATATTGCTGGAAAATTCGGGAAGGTTTATCTAGCATACGACGAACCTTTGGACATTGTTGGGAAAGGTGAAGTTCATATAAAGACTTCACAAGGCACGCTGTGAAAATTGCAAAATATCCGACATGTTCCTGGCCTCAAGAAAAATCTGATATCTATGGGTCAGATTGACAGTGAAGGATATACAACAATATTCGGTAACGGATCGTGGAAGATAACCAAAGGAAATCTGGTTGTGGCACGAGGCTTCAAGAAGAGAACACCGTATGCAATTGCAATACAGAGAGATATTATAGCAACAGTTGATCACGGTCGTGATACAACATTGTTGCACTGGAGGCTCGGGCAAATGAGTGAGAAGGGAATGAAGTTGTTGGCATCCAAAGAAATGTTGCCAAACCTAAAGCATGTTGAATTAGGTTTGTGCGAAGATTGCATTTACGGGAAACAAAAGAGAGTTAGTTTCTCAAAGGTGAGAAGGACTCCAAAGAAAGAGAAGCTGGAACTAGTGCATATATATGTATGGGGACCAGCTCCTGTAACTTCTCTGGGAGGCTCACTCTATTATGTCACCTTCATTGATGATTCCACAAGAAAGATATGGGTTTATTTTATGAAAAATAAATCTGATGTGTTTGTTACCTTTAAAAGATGAAAAGCTGAAGTTGAAAATAAGACAAGTCTAAAGTTAAAATGTCTGAAGTCTGACAATGGAGGAGAGTATGATAGTCAAGAGTATAAAGCATTCTGCTCTGAGAAAGGGATCAGAATGATCAAGACAATTCCTGGAACACCGGAACAAAATGGCGTTGCTGAGAGGATGAACAGAACCCTGAATGAACGAGCCAGAAGTATGAGAATACATTCTGGATTGCCGAAGTATTTTTGGGCTGAGGCTGTTAACACGACAACTTACCTCATAAACAGGGGACCCTCTAAACCGCTAGATTTTGAAATTCCTGAGGAGGTATAGACAGGAAAGGAGGTAACTCTCCCACATCTGAAAATTTTTGGTTGTGTTGTTTATGTGAATGTAAACTCAAATGATAGAGATAAGCTTGAGCCTAAAGCCAAGAAATGATTCTTTATTGGCTATAGTGATGATAATTTTGGTTATCGATTTTGGGATGATCAGAATAGAAAGATCCTAAGACACACGAATGTCACATTCAATGAAAATATGATGTACAAAGATAAGCTTGAATAAAACCAACCAGAACCAGCAGACAGACATCTGAAACAGTTGAGTTAGAAGAAATCTCAGAAAATGAAGTGGCTAGAGAGCCTACAACTGGATCTGAAATTGAAGATGCCGAACCAGAAGCCGAATATGGATCAGAATCAGAACCAGAACCAGAGATAGAATCAGATGGAGAACCAGATCTGAAGTCGGGACTTGAATCAAATTCGGGATCAGTTAATCTTGAACCTACATTAAGGAGATCTAAAAGAGTCACGAATGCTCCAGATAGGTTAACTCTCTCTCTCCACTATTTACTTCTGACTGATATTGGAGAACCAGAGCATTTTATTGAAGCAATGCAGGTGATAAGCTCTGATAAGTGGAAGCTAGCCATGAAAAAAGAGATGAATTCTCTTCAAAAGAATAAAACATGGATACTTACAAAGTCGCCAAAAGGAAAGAAGGCATTGCAAAACAAGTGGGTGTACAGGGTCAAGGAATAGCATGATGGTAAGAAGAGATACAAAGCATGATTAGTAGTAAAAGGCTTTCAGCAGAAGAAAAGGATTGACTACACCGATATCTTCTCTCCTGTAGTCAAATTAACTACTAACAGGTTGGTGCTAAGTATCGTAGCTGCAGAAAATTTGTATTTGGAGCAGCTAGATGTTAAAACTGCTTTCTTGCATGGTGACCTTGAAGAAGACATCTACATGAAGCAACCTGAAGGTTTTCAAGTTTCTGGTAAAGAAAACCTTGTGTGTAAGTTGCAGAAGAGTTTGTATGGTTTGAAACAAGCACCCCGACAATGGTACAAGAAATTTGATGGATTCATGCATAATAATGGTTTCATACGATGTGAGATGGACCATTGTTGTTATATCAAAAATCTTGATAAATCCTATATCATTTTACTGTTGTACGTTGATGATATGCTAATTGCAGAATCTAGCATAAATGAGATCAACAGGGTTAAGCAGCAACTGGCGGAGGAGTTTGAAATGAAAGATTTAGGATCAGCTAAGCAAATGCTTGGGATGAGGATTAGCAGAAACAGGTCTGAAAGAACCTTAAAATTGTCTCAAGAAAAGTACATACAGAAAGTACTAAGCAGGTTCAGTCTTCATGATGCAAAGACCAGAAGCACTCCACTCGGAAGCCATCTTAATCTGTCGAAGGACCAATCACCTAAGACAGATGAAGAAAGGAAGTACATGTCCAAAGTTCCATATGCTTCAGCAGTAGGAAGTTTGATGTATGATATGGTTTGCACTAGACCTGACATAGCCCATGCAGTTGGAGTTGTCAGTAGATACATGTCAAATCCAGGAAAGGAGCATTGGGAAGGTGTAAAATGGATATTGCGATATCTCAAAGGCACCTCAGGTATGACACTTTATTTTAAAAGAAGCAATATTATCTTATAAGGTTTTGCTGATACAAATTTAGGCACCGATCTGGATAGTAGAAAAAGTACCACAGGCTATGTGTTCACCGTGGGTGGTACTGTAGTTAGCTAGATGTCTAGACTTCAGAAAAGTGTTGCTTTATCTACCACTGAAGCAGAGTACATGGCAATCTTAGAAGCTGGAAAAGAGATGATTTGGCTCAAGAATTTTCTTAAAGAGCTAGGTAAAGAGCACGATAATTGTGAGCTTTTCAGGATAACCAGAGTGCAATTCATCTTGCCAAGAATCCAGTGTTCCTGCAAGATCGAAGCATATCCAGTTGAGGTATCATTATATCCGAGAGTTGATAAGTAAAGAAACTTTTTCCCTGCAGAAGATACCAGGTTCAAAGAATCCGTCAGACATGTTGACCAAAATTGTCGGTGTTGATAAACTGAGGCTATGCACTGCCTCAGTTAGCCTTCAAGACTGATAGGGTGAAGGCGCCACCAGAGAATAGCAAATATTTATTTTAATTTCTTTCTTGATGTAACATAGGTTTGAGGGGGAGATTGATAGTAGAAAACATGTTGTTGTATGTGAAAGAAAGAAAAGTGGTCAAAACAAAAGAAAGAAAAATCAAAAAGAGATGAACTTATGATGTAAGCGCTTATATTGGCATTCTTATGATGTATGCGCCTATATTAGCATTCGTATGATGTAAGCGCTTACCTCAGCAAGACATTCAAATGCCTATAAAAGGGGTATGTATTTTCATTTGCAAATCATCCTTTAACTTTTTCTTTCCCTCTTCAATTAATAAAGAGTTATTCTTTGTGTGGCCGTGAAGTAGGCAAAATTACCGAACCACATAAATCTTGTCTTGTCTTGTGCAATTTATTATTTTTCTCTTTTAAATATTTTTCCTTCTATTAGCCCAACACGTTTCCTAACAATATAGTGTCACACAATACCAACTGATTTTAGTTGGTAATTCAGAAGATCGAGCTGACTATTAGAAGATGGTATGTTATAAATATATTCTCTAACAACCAATGGGTTGTTATTGCCATGGGTGAAAGACCACGGATTTCAAAAATGTTTTACGCAGATGTACACAAATGTTACAGCATCATATATTTAATTCAAAAGTCTCCCTTTATTTTTTAAATTCCGTTGCATAAATTAAAACATAGAGTGTATGGTATTAAATTAAACAAAAATAATAATAAGAAGAAGAATATGAGATTGAAATGAATAACTTATACATACCTTTCTCTCTTCCCCAACTCCGGGGGCTGGATCTTCATCTTGAAGAGCCTGAAGACCATAACTATTATTCCGCCTGATTTCTTTCACCGTTTCCCTGATACCTCTGATCTCTTCTGCTGCATCCTGGACTCTTTTATAATGAACCAAGTCCATATATCTTGCTATTCCTTTGTCCTTGTGAAGCTTTTCTGCAATCACAAATTTATCAATGGCATCTTCAGCTATGTTCACTACCTTTCTTATACGCTTCACCAATCCTCTCAGAACTTCATTCTCGGTTCTGCGCTTTGCAGCTTGTGTCAAGAAAGCATTAAAGTCACTCAGATCTTGAAGTAAATTCTCAGCCTCGCCTTTTACTCCAAGAATAAGTTCTGCATTGTCTCGCAACAACTGCATCAAGTTCTCCAATAGGAAATTCACAGCTACATCTGCCATGCTCTTTTTTGGCAGGTCGAATTAAAGCAGAGAAAATATTGTAATTTGAAGGCAGATTATGTTCACCTTTAGCTGAGAGATGTAATCGACGATTTTAAAAGCAGAGCAAAAGGTATAGGCAATAAAGGTGGCTATTATATATTGTTGACAACAAGTGAACTTCGATCCGTGTTTTTGTTTAGCTTTATTTTTAAATACTGTACTACTAAGTATATTTTTTAATACTATCATTTTAATTAGTTTGTCATATAAACTAATGACTTGATGAGTACCGTACAGTCAAAACAGGGCTTTAACTTCTATATCTTTAATCTTTAAGATTTTAGTATTGAACACATAATATTTTTAAAGTTATTAGTTCATATTTATTATTTATAATAGTTTTAGTGAATTTTACCACATAAAATTGCATTGAAAGTACTAGATTCAGATAAACTACGTATTTTGAAGCTACATCTATTCGTGGTATCGTCGAGTTCATCTGAATCTATATCTTCTATGTGAAACATAAATTTATGTGTAAGGTTATATATTTAAAAAATATAGTAAATAGTAGACATAAACCCATAATTTTAAAAGTGCAATAGATTCATTGTAAAAAATTTAAAAGTTTAATTCATAGAACTTAAATCATGAATCAACCACTACATACAAGTAGAGTTTAGAAGTACAATTGATATTCTTTCCGAAGTAACGTGATTCCTATTTTTGACTAAATTTTATGGATAGTCATTCAACTTTGTGTTTATTATCCAAAAGTCACTTTTCTTTTTTTTTGGTTACGTAAAAATCATTCAATTTTGTGTTCATTACCCAAAAGTCATTTTTCTTTCTATTGTTATAATAAAATCATTTTACTATGCTCTACGACAACAACAACAACAACAACAACATACCCAGTATTATCCCACATTGTGGGGTCTGGGGAGGGTAGTATGTGCGCAGACCTTTGACGAGTGTCTAGCGTATATAAACTTTTAACTCGTACTTTGTCAAATAATAGTATAGAAAGATGTCGAACCTACAGAGATTGGTTTATCTATTCTACAGACGTTTCTTATTTTAATTACTATTTGAGAAAATTAGAAAGAGTTAAGTTTGAAATTAACTAACTAAAAATGCATGAATAGAGCAATAGAAAATATTTTATTTTTCACAAATATAATAAAAAGGTGTTGAGATCTTAACTTCACTTAATATTTCTATTATACGGTAGAATTATTATTCTTCAATTTCTATTTCTCAAAAATATAAATGCCTCTCACGATTACAAATATATATTATTACTCAAGTTGAATAATTAATTGTACTCCTCTCGGTTATACAAATTAATCTTCAAAATAGTAATACTAAAGAACAAGAAATATATGATTGAACTTAAACATGTTCTTGTTAGTAAGTCCTTTTCGGTTACCCTGCTTGTTATAACTGATTATTATACTATTCGCCTCTCTCGATTACAAATAAGTGTAAAATTAATTATAACATAAAAGTGTGATGAACCCAAAATGTCATCTTTAAATTTAATAATTAATTATGTATTCTAAGAATTCGTAAAGCACTATTTATCATTCTACGACTTGCGTGCGCAGTCCGTAAAATTTTTCGAAAAGTTTTTATGTGAAAAATAGAAAATAATATGAATTTGAGCTTTAAAACACAACTGAGTTGACTTTGGTCAACGTTTTGAGCAAACGGACTCGGATTAGTAATTTGACAGTTCCGATAGGTCTGTATCGTGATTTGGGACTTGGGCATATGCCCGAAATCAAATTTCGAGGTCTCTAGCCCGAGATATGGAATTTTGATGAAAAATAAAAAGTTTAAGTTCAAATAGTGACCGGATGTCGAATTATGTGAAAACGACCCCGGAATAAAATTTTGATGATTCCAACAGCTCCGTATGGTGATTTTAGACTTAGGAGCGTGATCGGAATTTTAATTGAAAGTCCGTAATAAAATTAGGCTTGAACTGGCTAAAATAGGAAATTAAGTTTGGAAGTTTGACCTGGGAGTTGACTTTTTGATATCGGGGTCAGAATCTATTTCTGAAAATTTTCATAGCCTCGTTATGTCATTTATGACTTGCGTACAAAATTTGAGGTCAATTGTACTTGATTTGATAGGTTCCGGTGTTGTTTCTAGAAATTGAAAGTTTCAAAGTTCATTAGGCTTGAATCTATGAGTGATTCGTGTTTTTAGTATTGTTGGATGTGATTTGAAGACTCAACTAAGTCCGTATAGTGTTTTAGGACTTGTTGGTAAATGTTTGAGGTCCCGAGGGGCTCGGGCGTATTTCGAATGGTATTCGGAGTATTTTCCTTCATTTTGGCACTGCTGCTAGCTACTGATTCTCTGGTATTTTAAACCTTCTTCGCGATCGCGAAGATTGGGACGCGATCACGTAGGCTTAGTTGAGGCAGTGTTAATTTTGTTCTTCGTGATCGCGTGAGGTCAACCTCGATCGCATAGGTTTGGCAGGTTGTGCATCGCGATCGCGTGACATTATTTGCGACGCGTAAGGTTAATTGAGGGCTGCTAAGTTTTGTGCTTCGCGATCGCGTGAAGCGTGATGCGATCGCGTAGCTTTTAGACCTTGTGACTCGCGAACGCGTGAAGAGGACTATGATCGCGTAGAGTTGGGAATTCTGTGCTCTACGACCGCGTGAGGATATACGCGATCGCGTAGAGTTAATTTAGGTAGTGGTAATTTTTGCTTCGCTGTCGCGATGAGTAAAAGCCTGGACATAATGTTTAAGTTCTGACCCATTTTCTATTTTTAACGAATTGGAGCTCGAATTGAGGCGATTTTTGAGAGATTTTTAGAGAAAACGTTGGGGTAAGTGTTCTTAACTCAATCTTTGTTAGATTACCCGAATCTATCACTGTTTTTAACATTTAATTGATGATTTAAGTTGGAACTTTTTGAAAATCCTCTTGGATAGATTTGAGGATTTGAGGGTCGAGCTGTTATTGGAATTTAGTCATTTTGGTATGGTTAGACTCGTGGTTGAATGTCCATTCATATTTCGTTACTTTCGCCGGATTCCGAGACGTGGGCCCCACAGCCATTTTTGAGTTGATTTCAGATTTTTATTGAAAAATATAGTATTTTCTTACATAATTGATTCTATAATTTTTGTTGACTGTATCGAATTAATTATGTATAGATACGAGTTGACCGGAATCGAAAAATCGAGAAAAAAGCATACTACTTGATTAAATTAGAGCAAGTCGAGGTAAGTGACTTGTCTAACCCTGTGTGTGGGAAATATTTCCTAGGATTGGTATTAATTGTAATGTGATAAAAGTCGTGTACACGAGATGACAAGTGTGTACACGGACTAAATGTGAAGGATTATTTTTTAAAATTGTGAAGATTACTATTGCATATTAATTAATTTATTAAATCTTATTATATTTTTCATCATTGATTTGATTTGTATACTTTAAATTTGCTTGACCTTTTCCTGCTAATTGTTTTACCTATTTAGTTGAAACTTGGTTCCTTTTATTCTGTGCATTATTTGAAATTGATTTTCTTAAATTTAAATATTATTAATATGAAATATTTGACATTTTAAATTTGGTATTGAAGCAACGTATTAAAGATTTTGAAATATTATTTTGCTGAATTATTTATTCCTAAATATTTGTGTAAGATTTTTGTACTCATTGTGATGGAGCCGTGAGCTCTTTATTTTAGAAAACATTGTTGTTGAATTATGTTGGCACTTTAAATTATTTGAGCACTTGAGGTGCAAATTATGATATATTGTGATATTGATACGCATGCGGTGGTATAAGGTTTGGGTATTGAAACACATGCAATGA